GTTTGCTTCTACGACAAAAGGTTTATGATCTGCCTACACCACTTCTGCTTCACCTTTGTCATTCCAGAAAATCAGGCATTGATGGAGCGATGAAAGGATGTAGCGACTTCCGTGTATCCAATCCCTTCCTAATAACACATTGTAACTAGTAGGACCATCTATTACGAAGAAGACAGTGGTCCTAGTAGTTGTCCCTATAGTTAGGTCCAATGGCATAACCCCTTTAGTTGAAGTTGCTCCACCATTGAAACTTGTAAGGATGACTTCTGTTGGAATCATATCACTTTCTGTCTTTGCAAATTTCCTCATCATCCTAGATGGAATGGTGTTTATAGCTGCTCCATTATCGATAAATACTTTCACCACAGGTATACCGTTAACTAAAGCCTTAATGTACAATGACCTCAAGTGTTTAGTTAACTTCATGGCTGGTCTCTTAAAAATAACATTTTCGGCAGCATCTATTTCCACTTCCTGCTTGTTCTCTGTTGAATTATCCTTTTGTGATAAGTCAACGTGCAGTATATCGCACTGAGCTTCCGCTTCCTGAATTTCCTTTTTATTGTTTTCTAATGCTTCTTCTTCGGTTACCCAACCTGTGGGAGGAGGCAATATTCTTGGAGGTGACCCATACTTTTCAGAGCGAGGTACTCTCCTTTTTCTTTTGGGTGTCTCATACAACACATAATAATCGAAAGAACACCCAGATGGTTCTCCCAACAAATCCACTTCACGAACACCTTCTTTATGTAGTTGCTTCAACAAGGTATTTCGCGATACTCCTCTCTTTCTTCTTTCTGCTTCCAAATTAATTTCCTCTTCGATGTCCGTCATACCATCATCTTCTTTATCATTGTAGGCCCCTCTAGAAGTTTGACCTTCTTCACATTCCAGCACACATGCTTCTTCTTCGTTATCCTCCCTTTCTTCTTCTTCTTTCTCTTTGTTCTTGAACTCATTGGCTAGTAAATAGTTATTAGCCATGACAGGAGGTAACGTACCGAACTGAATAGTAAGGGGTTGATCTGGATCTTCTTCATCCCTTCTGTCTCGCTCAAACTTCGATCTCCTAGAAGAATTCTCTGGTACTTCTTCCATCGATTCACCTATACCAGTCTCTTCACTGTCTTCGAGCACATTTTGATTGGCTACTTTGAGTAGTTTAGGCGCCTTAGGATGTGGTACTCCCTATTGTTGCCTCATCATTCATCTATAATTCCGTTGAAAATGCATTTGTTGGATTCTAGTCATCTCGTTGAAGAGTATCACCTTTCCTGCATTATACTGGAATGAATGCCATACATTTGGTTGGCGAGGTTGCGGCCTGAATGTTCTCCCATTATTTATTGACCTGAACTGCCTCTCAAAAGGCGGTCCCCTATAGAATGATATACCTCGCCCTCTAAAAGGCTTAGCGTTTGGGAAAAAAATTAGGGCGATGGTGATGCTGCCATATCCCTGATTTCTCAGTATTTGCACTTATTTCTCCTTTACATCTTGCACACAGGACGTCTTCATCATTTTTAGGCTCATTCCACTCATTTTGAAGATAATTGGTGCAAAATGAAGAAAATATGGATTAAAAGGATCAAAAGTTACAAAATAATGAACCTATGTGCTAAGCATGTGAAAAAAATAGTGCACACAATTCGATATATATATATATATATATATATATATATATAGCTCAAAACTCATTTTGAAGATAATTGGTGCAAAATGAAGAAAATATGGATTAAAAGGATCAAAAGTTACAAAATAATGAACCTATGTGCTAAGCATGTGAAAAAAATAGTGCACACAATTCGATATATATATATATATATATATATATATATATAGCTCAAAACTCATTTTGAAGATAATTGGTGCAAAATGAAGAAAATATGGATTAAAAGGATCAAAAGTTACAAAATAATGAACCTATGTGCTAAGCATGTGAAAAAAATAGTGCACACAATTCGATATATATATATATATATATATATATATATATAGCTCAAAACTCATTTTGAAGATAATTGGTGCAAAATGAAGAAAATATGGATTAAAAGGATCAAAAGTTACAAAATAATGAACCTATGTGCTAAGCATGTGAAAAAAATAGTGCACACAATTCGATATATATATATATATATATATATATATATATAGCTCAAAACTCATTTTGAAGATAATTGGTGCAAAATGAAGAAAATATGGATTAAAAGGATCAAAAGTTACAAAATAATGAACCTATGTGCTAAGCATGTGAAAAAAATAGTGCACACAATTCGATATATATATATATATATATATATATATATATAGCTCAAAACTCATTTTGAAGATAATTGGTGCAAAATGAAGAAAATATGGATTAAAAGGATCAAAAGTTACAAAATAATGAACCTATGTGCTAAGCATGTGAAAAAAATAGTGCACACAATTCGATATATATATATATATATATATATATATATATAGCTCAAAACTCATTTTGAAGATAATTGGTGCAAAATGAAGAAAATATGGATTAAAAGGATCAAAAGTTACAAAATAATGAACCTATGTGCTAAGCATGTGAAAAAAATAGTGCACACAATTCGATATATATATATATATATATATATATATATATAGCTCAAAACTCATTTTGAAGATAATTGGTGCAAAATGAAGAAAATATGGATTAAAAGGATCAAAAGTTACAAAATAATGAACCTATGTGCTAAGCATGTGAAAAAAATAGTGCACACAATTCGATATATATATATATATATATATATATATATATAGCTCAAAACTCATTTTGAAGATAATTGGTGCAAAATGAAGAAAATATGGATTAAAAGGATCAAAAGTTACAAAATAATGAACCTATGTGCTAAGCATGTGAAAAAAATAGTGCACACAATTCGATATATATATATATATATATATATATATATATAGCTCAAAACTCATTTTGAAGATAATTGGTGCAAAATGAAGAAAATATGGATTAAAAGGATCAAAAGTTACAAAATAATGAACCTATGTGCTAAGCATGTGAAAAAAATAGTGCACACAATTCGATATATATATATATATATATATATATATATATAGCTCAAAACTCATTTTGAAGATAATTGGTGCAAAATGAAGAAAATATGGATTAAAAGGATCAAAAGTTACAAAATAATGAACCTATGTGCTAAGCATGTGAAAAAAATAGTGCACACAATTCGATATATATATATATATATATATATATATATATAGCTCAAAACTCATTTTGAAGATAATTGGTGCAAAATGAAGAAAATATGGATTAAAAGGATCAAAAGTTACAAAATAATGAACCTATGTGCTAAGCATGTGAAAAAAATAGTGCACACAATTCGATATATATATATATATATATATATATATATATAGCTCAAAACTCATTTTGAAGATAATTGGTGCAAAATGAAGAAAATATGGATTAAAAGGATCAAAAGTTACAAAATAATGAACCTATGTGCTAAGCATGTGAAAAAAATAGTGCACACAATTCGATATATATATATATATATATATATATATATATAGCTCAAAACTCATTTTGAAGATAATTGGTGCAAAATGAAGAAAATATGGATTAAAAGGATCAAAAGTTACAAAATAATGAACCTATGTGCTAAGCATGTGAAAAAAATAGTGCACACAATTCGATATATATATATATATATATATATATATATATAGCTCAAAACTCATTTTGAAGATAATTGGTGCAAAATGAAGAAAATATGGATTAAAAGGATCAAAAGTTACAAAATAATGAACCTATGTGCTAAGCATGTGAAAAAAATAGTGCACACAATTCGATACTCAACTTGATTTGAAGTAGCAATGGTTCTTGCCAAATAAAGTTTCATCCATTTCAATGGTGCTTGACAAATAAAAAAGTGTTGGATCTTTTAAAATTCAAGATGAGCAGATTGGGAAGAAGATCTAAAAATGGGTACCCACGACCACTTGATGGAAGTCACTTTTCCCTCTTTTAGCGGGCACCCTATTTATGACTCTATATTGCAGTTCACCTATGGGGCCTTTCCTTATTTCGAGCTCACAACCAAAGGATGCATGGAGTGAAGTTGCCTGTGACGCCACTCCTTTCTTTAGTATCCGCCCTGCTCCTGTCTACAACTATGCTATCTCTATTACTGCTAAGGTAAAGGTTGGTTGTCGAGTTTCAACAATGGAACCTAGCCCGAGGGAATGTAAGCGAACAAGGGGGTGAAAATCATTCCATACCCAGATACTTCAGCCTAAAACGGTAAGGCGTAAGTCATCGGTTCAAATCCGAAGGAGCTTAGGTTTTTTCATAAAAGTGCAGCCGTGAAAAGCTTTAGAAATCCAAATTTCCTATTTGTAGAATTGCATGTGAATACATGTATTAGATATTTTATCTAAGGGCCTGTTTGATACTTTGTCTTTTTCATGGAAAATTTTTATTTTCACCCAAAAATATATGTTTGATGACACCCAAATTTCATGGGTTTTCCAACCCCCCCTCCCCCCTCCGACCAATTTTCTTAGTTTTTAAGAAATTCAATTTCCTTTTATTTTGGTGAGAATTGAGTTTTTCATTTTATTTTTATTTTTTTGACAAAGGAAATAAATTATATCCACAATTATAATGAATTTTATCCATTTAATTAACAATTTTCATGGGGAAAAAATCAGGTAAACACCAAAAGAACATTTTATAGATAAAAATTATATCAATTAAACACATTTAATTAATAATTTCTTGTAAAACAAGTTCTAGACAATTCAATTTCTTAAAATTCGTTTTCTTTTCACCCAAATTTCATTCTTACAATCAAACGGATCTTAATTTCTTTTAAGCTCATATAAATTGCACCAAATGAAAGGAAACATGAACCTAAAAAATCATATAGTCAAATACAGAAAAAGGTCCCAAAAATAAATAAAGAAATAAGACAAGAAATCTAGAAGTTGGGAAATAGAAAACACTGTTATATAAATATTATATTATTATATATATATCCTTTATATGACATATCTAGAAAAACTCGCACAAATCAAATTATCAAAGACAATCATATTTTCCAAATCTAACATAAAGGGGACCTATGGGGCACACCCTTTCGTCTATTCATAGCAAATGTCATTTCAGACGAACATAAGGATGTTAACCGGTGACCATTTGGAGAAACCAAAGTGTCACTACGTTTCCTTTTTACAGATTCAGTTGTCGCCTTGGATTTTGTTGCCTCACTTGAACGTGAACCAGATGAAGTTCTCGGAGAAATGGGCAATTTAGGGACTGAATCTTGTGTCATTTGATCATCTTCAAGATGTAGCGGAGTATCATGATTGGATAGGTGGTGTTTATTTAAGTTGCAGGCCATGTAATGCACCTGCAGATAACGAAAAATGGTGAGTTTTTCTCAGAAGGGAGAAATTCTATTTTTGCGTACATTAGCATTCGAGCGAGTGAGCAAAGTTTAAATAAAGAGCTTGATTAGCCTACGCGATCGGTGGTTGGACTAATCGAGCTCTTGATTAGCAGATTTTAGATTTCTCTAAGTAGACTATAAGACTGCCAAGTAAAATTCAATATCGACCGTAGTAATTTTAAAATTGACCTTGCAAGAGATGGAGCAGAAGAGGTAAGGCTCTTGGAGATTTCTGTCACATATGTTACAGAAGTTGCCTGAGGTTTTGAAATGCCTTGTTATTGGCCTTTGGTTCAAGAACACCACTTTTGCACTGTTAGTTGTGTATGACTGCATTGAATTGCACCAAAAATTTGAGCCATGTACACAATTGAAGCTAACGCACAAAGAATTAAACCACGAAATATGAAAATAAAATGAAGTATAGACTTAACTTACTTGAACAAGTGAGCAATCTATTAACTTCTCAGCATCTTTCACGCGTAAAACATCTTGATAAACGTATCTTCTAATCTGAATTCAGAAAATAAATTTCAAAAAACTAGAACATGGGAGTGAAGATTTTTCATTTTTGAAACAATTATTAATGTATAGACCAACCTGTAGAAGACGATGACTTTGGTGAGAAGGCAAGCAGTGAGTGCATAGACAAATGCAACAGTCCAAACAAAACGTGTTCTCTTCATTTTTCTTCTCATATTTGTGAAACAGACATGAATTGAAGAACTTTTCGCCTAGAAGTACTTCAAGCCACTGAGGAATTGTATCAAAGGGCACCTGAAAAAATCCCAGAAAATCATTCTACATAAAATAAATACTCCACCAAGATTTCGAGTACCAGAACCCCGAGAAACAATAAAAATTTGGTTCGAAATATTATATAGTACTGGATTCACCATTTTCGTTAATTCAATTCGTTTGGCCCTTGATGACAGAGTAGATATGGACTCTATGGTCCTTCCAAAAAGAATCATAACGAACTAGAACCAACCCGAAGCACACCAGTAAGTCTTCAAGGAGCTTGGATCTCATTTAAAGATAGAATCACAGAAAACAGATTGATGTAATGCTTTCTTCCACTGCCACTGTACTTATACTCATTACAAATACATGCTATAGTGGATGAACATACTGTGTATAAGAATTAGCCTACAAAAACATCCAAATCAAATCTTTTTCGCATGTTTAGCTCCAACCCTATTTTTTTTCTTTATCATTTTTTACTCTCAATAGTCAATTCACTCAACCATAAGGTCTGCAATAGCTGCTAAATACACATATAGGCTTGCGAGCATACAGAAGACTTTTAAGAAAGGTGGGCTATTATATGGGAACCGAAACAGTACGAAACATTTAGATTTTGGATTCACGTACAGACAGGGTTGGATCAGATCATAATAGTTTGATGTCTTGAGAGATGTTCCGGAGAAAACATTTATGCAACTCACGAGGCTGATGTAATAATATTAATAATAATGCATGCGAGTAACAAATGCTACTTTATCTTCCAGCTACCAGCTATCAAAAACGTTATAGATATTAATTTTTTGATTTGATTGCACACAATTTTCAACTTTCCATATAAATGTAGCCACCTAGGTATGATTCCCCCCACCCCCCCTATATTTGATATTTGACCACTTCGGCCCTCGCTATTTTTAGAGTATATTTGGTAGAAATTTTAATTCAATTAAAATTAAATTTTTTATTGTTATTTCATTATTTCAGTCGTCATTTTTGAATTCTTCTCTCATAAATAGGACCCACTTTATCTCTAACAATAAAAAAATCAATTAACAAAATTCCTACCAAACAAGCACTTAATATTTACTTTTTCTTCGTTTAATGAAACATTCTATAATACTTGTAATTTATTTCAAACGCACATTTCATGAAGGTATTTTCAAAATACTCTTTAAACATGAAATGTTTTTCATTTTAAAGAGTCAATTTTTAAGGGGCTATCTTGGTGTACATAACTTTTTGTACATCAAAATGTTTCACGCTCACAAGGAGTGAGGCCTCTTCGAATATTTTATTTGAGTGGGTCTCACCCCATGTGAATGTATTAATATATTAATGTACAAAAAATTATATACAACTAGTGTTATCTATTCTTAAAATCATGTTTTAAGAGACTCTTTAAATGAACATTTTAATTTAGAGAGTGAATTTGACTATCTAAATTTAGAGAGCTTCATTCACTCTCAATAATTAAATATGGTAAAAATATTTCAATTTTCAATGAAGGTAAATAATATAGTATATAGAGAAAAGTTAGCCCCCATTTGGCCCCTATTTTTTCAAATTAAAATGGGGAAATAGTTGTTTTTTTTTTTTGTGTGAATGAGTGGTTGAAAAAAAAAAGGAAAAACAGTTTACGTGTAATATTATTTTATGCAAGATTGTGTGATTGAAAATAGGAGAGAGAAAAATAAAATTGAATTCAATGGGGAACAAACGTGGCTTAGTTAAAACAAAAGATAGAGAAAAATAATAAATATTTTTTAAAACTAGTAAAACTAAGTGATAAATATAAAGAGTATTGGAATACTTCAAAATTTTTACTCTCTAAATTTATAGATACTTTTAAAATTATAAAAGACGATCTTTACAAATAAAGAGTCTCTTGAAAATATTCTAAACTTCGATCAAATTTATTAAAAATTTAATTTTTATAGCTAACTCAAACAAAGACGTAATACCATGTCATAGTAGTGTCAAGTAGGGCAAACCACACTGACCCAAATTTGAGTAAAATACGTTATAAACATGCTTGGTTGGGTTTTTAAGCTAGTCAAACTATCTTATAAGCCAAAAATTCATCCAAAAATGTCTCTTAAAGTATGTGTCGACTTATTTTTAAGCCCGAATTGAAATAATTGGATTCGTTTGACTTGTTTTTTGTAAAACAAAAACAAGTTTCTCAAAAATGACGACTTTTTAAATGCCAACTTGGATGGATGGCCACATGGTAACCTCATATCGGCTCTCAATTTACAAAAACAAGTTTCTCAAAAATGGACTTTTTAAATGCCAACTTGGATGGATGGCCACATGGTAACCCCATATCGGCTCTCAATCTTCAACTTGGATTGTGCTTCTTTATATGGATGATAGACCATTGGATATAATCTACGTCTTAGAATAAGTTATTCCACTATTACTGTTTGTGGTTTAGAGTAGTTTGAGGCTAACTTTAATTCCTGGCATTTCGTTTGAGTTTATTTTTCTCTATCTAGTTCTCAATCATATTCTTGGTTTCGATATGTGATTTCTTATGAGGTTCTAGCCAAAATAATCATGGAATCCTGTGTGCTTTATGTTGCTACAGTAAATCAGGCCTGTAGTAGTGGCTATTTTTGAGTCAATGGAAGAGCAAGAGGTTCTTGGTTATATTTTTTCGTTAGGGTTTACGATTTAAGAGATTTGCTTGCAGATCAATGATTAAATCTGGGTCTGATTGAGTTTTTCATGATCTGTACTTCTCTTTGGAGGGTTTCTGTTGTGCTTAGTGTTTGGACTAGTCTCTGAACCTCTCAAATTAGTCGTTTGTTGAACTGGGTGAACATTCTTAATGTTCCTTTTATTTTTCTGCTCTGTGGTTGTGTTTTTCTTGTTTACCAATTTCATATTTTTAGGGTTAAAACCTAACGACTAGTATTAGAGGCTTTGGGATTTCTAGGACTGCAAATTTTTCTAATAACAGTTTTTTGGGGTCAAAATCTTTTTTGGAGTACTGGTTTTATCAATTGAATGATCTGACTTTTTTCTAGTTGTGAGAAGGCAATATGATATAAGGCCATACGCCAAATATTATGATCTCCCGGTGATTAAGAGGAGTTTCATTGCTTCTAATTGGGATTAGCTAAGTGTTTTTTTACTGTTTAAAACAGTATGGTGATAATTTTCTGACATTTGGACTTCTATACAATAATTTCTGTTGATACTTGATAGACAATATATGCATGTGATATATTCCTTGTATGGATATTTTGACTTGAATTGCATATATCTATTCTTGGGGTATACTATACTTGTTTACCCCTTAATTGTTACCTTGTGTGATGATGATGAAGACCTTGATGTGATTTTATTAAATTCATTGCCTGATTCTCGTAAAGAATTCAGGAATGCTATAAAATACTTAAGATAAACTAAAAAAAGCCATAGAAGTTAATGCTTTAAGATCTAGGGATTTAGAAATTATGAAGGAATCAAAATCTAACCCTAGAGAATAGAGCATGGTTGTAAGAAGGAGGAGTGAAAAGAGACAAAATAATTTTCAAACCAAGTAGGGAAAAGAAAATTCCAAATGTAGATCAAAGTCTAGAGATAAAAGCAATAAGTGTTGCAATTGTGAGAAGTTGAGACACTTCAAGAGAGATTGTTTTGTGTTGAAAAGGAAACAAAAAGAACAGAATGGGAAGGGGGGGTTAAACAACAACACTATTGAATCTGAAATTGACAGTCAGCATGTTATGATTGTATCCAGTAAAGAAATTAATAAGAATTGGATATTAGACTCAGAGTGTACCTTTCATATGTGTCTTATAAAATTTTGGTTTTATAATTACAAAGAGAACCTAGGAAGGTTTACATAGGGGACAATAACCAACAGATTATTGTTGGAATTGGTGATATTGCCATAAAAATGCATGATGGCTCTATGAATGTAAGATATGTTCTTAATCTAAAAAGAAATCTTATGTCTTTAGGGATTCTTGTAGATGAAGAACATATCTTCAAATTTGACAACAAATATTGAAAATTATGAAGGGCTCCCTGATTGTGATGAAAGGACATAAAAGGAATGTATTGTACTACCTTGCAAGGAATAAAATCACAGTTCTCGATTCCAACATCTTCACTACTGCTGAAAATAAAACTGATTTTTGGCATAAGAGAATAGAGCACATCGGGATTAAAGGGCTAAAATATTTACGTAATCAAAAGTTACTTAGAAAAGAATTAAATGAATTATTGGACTTTCGTGAAAACTGTGTTTTAGGCAAAAGTCACAAAGTGAGCTTTGAGACAGGTTAACATATCACTAAGAGACCTTTAGACTATGTCCATGCTAACTTATGGACACCTAAAAGTCATCCCACATTTGGTGGAAATAATACTTCTTATCTATTATTGATGATCATTCCAAAAAAAGCTTGGGTATATACTTTAAAAATTAAAGCTAAAACTTTTCAAAATTTTAGAATATGGTTGAAAAACAATTGAATAAAAAGTTAAAAACTCTAAAAACTGACAATGATCTTGAGTTTTGTAAGTTCGAGTTTGACAATTCCTACAAACAGAAAAAGGATGATGAGACAGAGGACTATTAAACATGCACCCAACAAAATGGGGCGATAGAATGATGAACAGAATTTTAATGAATAATGAATCTTTGTTTTATATTTACAAAGAAATAGAACATAGGAAGGTTTACATGAGGAATAACTAACTCACAAAATTTTATTGGAATTGGTGATATTGCCATAAAAATGCATGATGGCTCTATAAATGTAAGACATTTTCCTAATCTAAAATAAAAAGAGATCTTATATCTTTAGGGATTTGTGTAGATGAGGAACATATCTTAAAAATGACAACAGAATACTAAAAATTATGAAGGGCGCCCTGATTGTGATAAGAGGACCAGAAAGGAATGTATCGTACTAACTTGCTGGCAATACAATAACAATTCCTAATTCCAATCTCTTCACTATTACTGAAAATAAAACTCAACTTAAGTATAAGAGAATAGGACATATTGGGAATAAAGGGCAAAAATCTTTAAATAATCAAAAGTTAATTGGAAAATATTTAATTAAAATATTGGACCTTTGTGAAAGTTGTGTATTAGGCAAATCTTTGAGAAGGTTAACATATCACCAAGAAACCTTTAGACAATGTCCATGCTGACTTTATGGGGACTTGAAAGTCATCCCACATTTGGAGGAAATAATACTTCTTATCTATTATTGATAACTATTTCAAAAAGGTTTGGATTTATCGTACAAATATTAAATTTGAAGTTTTTCAAAAGTTCGGAATATAGTTGAAAACCAAATGAATAAAAAGATAATGACTCAGTTCAGAATATAGTTGAGAACCAAATGAATAAAAAGATAAAAACTCTAAAAACTGATAATGGTCTTAAGTTTTGTAACTTTGAGTTTGACAACTTCTACAAACAGAAAATGATAATGAGACATAGGATTGTTAAACATACACCTCAACAAAATGGGATGACCAAAAGAATAAACACAAATTTAATTAATAAGGTCAAACGTATGTTGATCAGTTCAGAGCTTGCTAAAGGTTTTCGGGCTGAAGTAATGTGTACAGTAG